GACGAACTCTAATTATGCCTAATCACTTGTGCCAAAATTATTAATTATGTCATTAAAATATAAATTGTAAAAAATATATTTTTTCTTTTTTGAAAAATGAGTATCCAAGAAGTTGATCTCCGACAATATGATCATCAAATATCATCAAACTATCACTTTTAAAGATGACGATGGGTTATATTTCTTTCGGATACATGTAAAACTAATTTATGAAGAATATCAATTTTAATACTAGGATTATTTTTTTTTTTTATCACGTATACAACTAATTCTAGAAATGCGAGCATTTATATTTAGTTTCATCTGGACAAATTTTCAATATATTAAATTTCATTCTCGTAGTAGTAGCAGCAGCATTAGGCGAGTTCGGCAGTATGTGAATGATGACCGCCCAATTGCAAAAGGACCCGACGTTAGATCTGTAATCAGGACCGTCAGTTCGTGTGTTGGACCTCCTTGCTTCCCGTCCAAAGGATCATTGCGACCAAGATGGGCCATCGTCCGCGGGAACCTCACAGACTATCCAACAACACTCTATAAAAGCCCCACCACTCTATAAAAGTCCCAACACTTCTCCTCCTTTCGACCCTGTTCTTCTTCTGCTGGGAGTTCGTCCTGGAGAGCTGATAACCCTCGAGAAATGCCCCGTGCTTGCCGACGACGAAGCGCAGAAAGGGAAAAGACAGAGAGATCGAGAAAACCCTTGTTCTGCTTCTCCTACTACTCTTGTGGAGGCAAGAAGAGAGCTGATCGATGGCGACGAGTTATCCGCATGCAGCGTCTCCTCTGCAGCAGCATCAACAGCAGACAGGTGAGTTTGGAGTCGGACACGGCAACGCTTCTTTTCTTGGGCCTTCTTCCGTTCTTTTCTTCTGTGAATCGCCTTCCGTCGATGATGCCGTCTTCGATCGTTTTCGCTTCCAAGATGTGGTCTTTATCGTATTCACATCCAAGATGTGGTATTCCATCGTTTTCTCATCCGGGATCGCATCTTTTTCCTTCGACATGATTACTCGCTCTTCTATTTTCGTCTCTATTTCTTCGTCCGAATCACCCATTTTTGCTAGGGTTTGTGAATGCTTGCTCTTATTCTCATTCCACTAGGTACTGCTGCTGAATCAATCCTCAAAGAGAAAGCAGCTGTCGGAGGACGTGGTAGAAAAAAACGAAGGATCGACCGAAACATCGGGCATCGATCGCTCTGCAGGGAGCATTTGATTCGCCACCTCGCTTCTTGGTTATGGAGATCGTTCATCGCTTCTTTCCCCTTCTTTTACAGTGTGAACCATCTTTTTAAATCCATCGGATTTAAATGATTCACTTCTTTTCCTTCTTTTAATCATCACGATCCACTAATCCAAAAGGGAATCACCCTAACTTCAGATGTACAATATAGATTATGTTCATTAATGACTTGATGAACCTATAGCTCCCTTTATAGATTGCACTTTTAATATGAATTTCTCAGTATATTCACATATATTCTATTATAACAATCACATCAATATCATTAATTTATTTTTAAAAAAATTAATAATTATTTTCAAATGATACATACATATAAAATTTTTAATCTTATCAAATCATAAAGATATAAGATAAAAAAGTCCTTAATCAATCAGAATCTTAATTGAAATAGTCACTGAGTTACTTAAATCAAACCTAATTTAATTATGACACAATGAAACTAATCTTAAATTTTTATAAAATCGATCTATTATCGCTTTAGATTGATCTAATTTATATTTGATTAATTTTATGTAAGTCAAGTTGGTTTGAATTGATCGTTACTTTGAAATCATCCTAAGTTAGCTTGAACCAATTAAATATTTTTGATTCAATTAATTGACAGACTCAAATAGGTAAAGAAAAAATTAGACTATATTGTATAGTACTAGTTCAGACCGAATCAACCCACTTGAGTTTTGGATGGAGCCATGTGTGTCGCGTATGTATATCCTAAGGAGCAAGTTGGGTTGAGATACCATTAATTAGATAGAGAGACGATGATGTGTCTAATGCGAGTGTTATAGTTGGGTGGGCATAGCTTCACGGATTAGACTAAACTTTACTCACAAGTTCAATTAGGTATTACCATTAAATTGGGCTACGCTTACTTCATAGTTAGATTATTTCTAGTCACGTGAGTTGGATCATGCTCGACCACATATGTTGGATCGTGCTTGGCCATATGAGTTGAATCACGCTTAGCCACATGGTTACACAGTATCTGGCTACAAGGTTAAGTCATGCCTGATCACATGGGTTAGATCATACCTAGTCACATTGGTTAGGTCATACCTAATTGTATGATTTAAACCATACTTGACCACATGGAATGGATCATGCTTAACTACATAGGTTGAAGCATACTTGACTACATGAACTGAGTCATGCATAACCCTATGGGTTAGACCATACCTGACCATGTAGGCTAGTATAGCCAATCAACTTAACTCAAGTGAGACACAAATTTGATCCATTTTATTAAATTAAATTTTATTATTTTAAAATTATTTTAAAAATTATAAAATAATAATTAATCTCAAATTCTTTTTTTCATAAATTAACTCATTTAGATTTATGATTCCAAATTTAAAATTAATTAAATCATAAAAGTAAGAGACGATAACAACCAATAAGAAAACTTCTTTTCGAGAATTTTCTCTTAAGCGGCTCCCGTTTATATAGCTCTCCTCAAAACAGTACTTTATTATTTTTATTTTACTTTCACATAAAATTATAATATTTATTTTTTATAGTTCATACGAAAAAAAAAAAAGAAATCTGAACTATTTACTTTTAAAAAAGTACATCACTTATTAGGAAATAAATCAATTAATAATTTAATTAATTAACAAAATTAATCATTTATGCATATGATGAAAAAAAATTAATCTTAATCATTTCCTTAATCATATTATACAAACTAAAAAGGTAATAATTTAATTAAAACAACATATTATTTATGATAATTTTATTTATGTTAATAAGGAGAAAAATCATTAGTAAAGGAAGATACGATCACCAAAACGAAAAGCGATTCATCGATCACCTTTAAAAAATAAAGTTAATCATAATGTTAAAATTAACATAAATATTCTCTTAAACAAATAACAAAAACAATTTAAGTTCAAAAAATATTGTTATACATTTACAAAGCTGAATCGATTATATTTGACCCGAACGGTTTATGTAGGTTCTCAAAAAATCAACTATGTGGAACTCTTCATACCCTTTTTTTTGGTGAATCTAACCAGATTTCCAGTCCAACCAATGTCATCGAACAAAAGGAAGTTGACCGAAAACAACCTGCAAGCCTACCACACTCCATTTCATGGACAGTGGCAACTTCTAAGAAGTTCATAATGAAAACATGTAAATTCATACAGTAAGGTTACTGCTACAATTCCACGAACGAGAGAATGGACCAAACAGAATTACATGCACAAGGATTCGGTATATTCAAAGCATTTCGGTTCCGAAAGCATAGACATAGTAAACACACCACTGGATACACAAAGTCAATGAGATACAAACAACACTTGTTTTATCGAACTTATTCCCTCTAATTCAGAGAAAGAACTCTGGTGATTCCTCTAAAGATTTCTTGAACAATTACACCTGACATCTTTGATAAACTTACCTACAAAATGACAACCTGAAGGACAGAGATAAGCGTTGTTAAGTTACAAGAAAGAATAAGCAACTCAAATTATTCATCAGATACTAATGTCAGTTCCATGTTGCTTATGATTTATGGAATGGTTTCACTTGACGAAGTTGTTGCTTCTAAGCTAGCCTCTTTCTTAAACTCCTGATCGGGACATGTGCTCTGTAGCTGTGCTTCAAGAAGGGTAAGATTTGCATCTAACCTCAATATTCTCCTGAGCGAAGCACAATGAAGTTGAATCAGCATCTAAAACATGAACAAAGTAGCAGTTGGATTCTAGAAATTAAAATATGCTTCATTTTAGTCTGTAGATTCTTAGTTCATTGAAAATTCTTAGTTCATTTTCTCTTGCGCTCCCAAGTTCTCAGAGAAACAACAACCAAGTTATCCACCTCAACGCGTTTCTAATAGTCGCTCATCCACAATTTAGATTATTAACCATATTACTGTGACACTCCCATCTTCTCCCACATGCTCAATAAGTGACCATTGCTTATATTATTAACTGGTTGTACAAGTTGCAATCTATTCTTATTATTCAACTTGCGTCAACTTGAAATATTTGATTGAATGATTCAATTTCACCAACTGAGGTAAATTTATTCAGTGTTCTGAGGGTTTGAACTTTTTAGTTGGTAAATAAGTCAAATTTTGGGTATCAAAATGCAACTGATACATGATAAGAATGTGAGGCCAGTTTTATATGAGAATAATCTAGATGCCATGAAAAACAGGTGAACACATAAATATATATTATTGACGACACATGATTGGCATCAACTCTACTTCAAAGAGGATAATGGATGGTTTATGTTATAAGCACAGCTAACTGATTTAAGGTCAGCTACTGCTAACAGAAAGTGTCCCAACCAGTGATTTAAAAAGCGCTAGGCGCCAAAAGGCGTCAAGGTCCAAAAATGCCCGAGGCGCTAAAATATAAAAATATATAATATAATTAATAAATATAATTATTTAAAATTTTAAATTAAAATATACTACTAAATTAAGAAAATCTATTAACAGTATTAAAAATTAATAATTTTAAATAAACCTAACAATATTAACAGTATACTATATACTGTTAACAGAAGGAGAAGAAGGAAGTGTAAGGGGGTGCTGAGCCTGCTGACTGAGAAAAGAGGAAGCAGCAACGACAGCGGAGTGTAAGGAGGCAGCGGCGAGCGGCGACAGCGGCGAGCAGCGATAGCGGCAGCGTTTGCGAGCAGCGACAGCGGCGAGCAGCGGGAGGCGCGAGCGATGACAGCGGCAGCGTTTGCGAGCAGCGACAACGGCGAGCAGCGGGATCAGGATCGGGAGCGGCAGTGACGAGGGTTAGGGTTCGGTTGTCACTTATATCAGTTTTAGTTGGTTTGATTGAACCAACTAACCATCGGAGACCGAACCGGACCTAAAATCCTGGTTCGGTCACCTTGGTTAACCCAAGCGCTCATCCGAAGTGCCTAGCGCTTGGGCTCGGGCGAGCACCCAGGCGGCGCCTGTTTGAAGCGCGCCGCCTGGGAGATTAGTGAGGCGCTCGGGCCTCGCCTCGCCTCGCCCGAGCGCCTTTTTAAATCGCTGGTCCCAACTTGTGAAGAAATGGGGTTAGTAATTTCGTATAAAATATGGTCTCATCAGCTACTAGTAACAAACATATGGAAGTGATGCTTGGTAACGAAAATTTATGGTCAACTGGCCCAAGCATCCATTTGCATATTTTCTTCTCTCTGTTCTCTTTTCTTATAGTTTTCATTGTTCTGCATATGAGTTTTCTCGTCGATGAGTACAAATCAGAGACTAAGCCTTCTTGTCAGTCCAAAATATCTTTTTTGATTCATATTAATTGTTAGCTTCTGGTACTAGAATAATCCAATAGGGTAACCTTATTGCTTACACACAATATCAAAACCTACCATGTGCCACTTTGTTACTTTGTTTAATTTCATAGCTACATATTAACAATATAGAATGTTATTTACTAAAAGTATATTTGCATGATACTAATTTTTAGATGAATCATTCACCAGTATTTTTCATCATCAGTTTTTTTTTTAATAATTTTTACATCTCAATTTCATGTTTTTCAAAACATTTAACGAGGGAGAAAAAAATATTCTCTGATGTGAAAAAAGATATAGAAGTCTCCCTTTTATGTGGTTTTTCAAAAAGCTGCATGTCTTAAGAATTATGAAGGTAAACAATTCTCTTTTCATATGATATTTTTATGTTTTATCATTTTACCTTTTTCTTTTTCTCTAATGTTCTTTATTAAAATAAGTTTTAAAATTATTTTTCCAATCTATGTTGATTCCACATATTTGATTCAACTAGTCATTATCTCCATAGTGAATCCTCATTTCAATATCAATAATGCAAATTATGAGTGGAAACTAAAGAAATAGAGAGATTAAGCAACAAACTATTGCAATAGAAAATGGTTAGGATCCAAAAGTTAAAATATAGAAAATGTCAAGTCAAAAAGCCATAAAAGAGTTGGATTGTGCTGATGGAGCAACAGATTTAGAAAGTTCCTATTAAAACTGATCAATGAGAAGGAGCCAACTTGGTAAGGAGCCATTAATAACACAAATACATTTGTCCAACAGTGCATGTGAGACTCGAGCATTTGAATTCACAGATCAGGTTATTAGACAATGGGCTTTCACCAGCAGACACTATATGCAAAAAGATATCAAGGATCAGATTGATTCACAGATCAGGTTAGAACATGTCCAGCAAGGGTTCAGATTGAATAACTAAACTCCTAATTTCCTTAATAATTGAATTGATTAAGTAACTTGATACAATGTCCTAATACCTCTTGATTCTTTGTTTTTTCTTTTATATCATATTTATTCCTTTATTTTTTTCTCATCCACTAATTATTTAAGCTCTGTAGTCATTGAAAAATAAAATTGATCTTCATGGCCAACTCGCTCCAATATCTGTTGGTTATCTTCTTCATTATTTTCTCCTATGTATATCCTTCTGTTCCTTTTTATCCACTACTTATTTCAATTCTCTGCCAAACACGAACAAGAAATTGAAAAAATCAAAACATTTGACTTCTCCAGCATTTTAAAATCATTTCACTATCTTTTCTATGTAATAAGCACATTTAGTCTCATACCGGTTGAGAAGTAGAGAACCAAAACCTTATAAGCGCCAAAATTATCCTCTACCCTTAGAGGTGTCTTGTAGGGTCCATCTCCAAAGGACAAAATCGTGCAGACCTACTTAGAGCGGACAATTCCTCTCGAACCCTCATGCTCGGACCCATAAGGACAATCATGTAGACCCACCCTGAGCAAACGTGCTCAGACCGACGAAGACAATCAATGACTTATCACTAAGTCATTCTTCACTCATGGAATAATCTAACCAGAATTATCATTGTTTACTCCCCTAGATCTTCTACCATATGATTCTTTACAAAATCACATTGTCCATAGGGAAACTAGAAATCCAATGTTCCCTAACAAACACAGGGAGAAACTAAAGGAGCAGTTGTCCTTTGCATCCCTGAGAGTGATGACCAAGAGCATGTTAATTGTGGATTCCTTGAAAGACAGTGCCCAGGGTGCTTTATCCTACACAATCCATGCATATTACCTTCATTTGCTACACAATCCATGATCAGAATCTTATGAGGTGATCTACATGCCAATATGCAGCAAAATTATTTTCAACATTAAAGTTAGAGAAAAATTAGCACATACAAACAAAACGATTTTGAATTTTCATACACCAACCAGCAGGTATAACAATTTTTCATTCTATTTGTTGGTCAGCCAAAAAACAAAAAATCTAATGTGCTGCTTCCCTAAGACAATGGTGGAATTATATTCTCAACTCTCAGTTTGACATAGAGTTGGAACAAGATTTAATTTGATGGCCAACTCTACAAACTATAACACGAGTTTTCCCAGAGATTAACCCTCATCAAATGGAATGCCCTCTGCCTCCTATTTGTCACTACAAAGTTAACAACTTTTTTACTGCTACAAGTAAAATAAGGAGTTCACAAGCGACTAATGAAGAACAAACGGGAGAGGCAAAACTGATACCTGTGGACGTCGGCGAGCTTGTCCTGGCAGAGCGAGGCGAAGGAGTTGAGGAAGCGGGCGGTGTTACCAATGAATATGTTCACCTGACCCACGGACGCGCAGCGGCCGTCAAGAACATCATATACCAATCACGGCTTTGCTACGAAAGTGAGAGAGATGGAAAAGGAAAATTACGGACAAGATAGAGAATCCTCTGATCCGATATGGCGAGAGTGGCTTCCTCTTCCTCTTCCGCCGCCGGATGAGCGGTGGGAAAGGGGCTCCGCCCTGCCGCTGCCGGTGCTCTCCGCGGGATCATCACCGACCTAGTTATCTGTTGTTGTCGAGGAGATGAGGCCCTCAAGAGTCTTCTACTGACCTTTTTACCCCTATGTATATATATATATATATATATATATATATATATATA